TCAACAATACTCTGTCCGCAGTTCAATTACACATTGTTCCCGTCTCTTCTTGGCCGGTCTTATATATATACAAGACTACCCCATATCTAGTAGTCTCCCGACGCTTCATGAACGTTCTAGAAGCGCGTGGCGTGTTACTAGGGTCACGTGACCTCCGCTGTCGTAACAGTATGTTTACCTTAGCATAACGTTTTTATAAGTGTACAATATATACACAGATTTTGTTAAAATGTTACGTATTTTCACTGCCAGACTTTAACAAAGTCTGATTATTCACCACCCTATGTTGCCATCCATTTGTGTACACTGACAGATAGTATTACTAACATAAAATAAAAGTAAACAATACAATAGGAATTTTTGAAAGCATAAAAGCAATGAATAAATGCTGTTGCTCCATACACTTTTGTAATGGAAATAAGTGTTTTATGGAGTAATCATGTAAGACATAAAACAATCTTCTACGCTAATTACTATATACTATAATAATTAATATAGTGCTCTCTCACTTTCATTTCAGTCAAAAAATAACAATAACCAGTTTTGTTCGTTTCATTTACTGCAATAACTGTAGCATTTGGGAGAACAACGGAAAAAACCACCAGAAAAGTATAAGTTGTAGCACATAGTAAGAAAAATTAACTAGCCCTATACTCAAAAATACAAATAAGTAAACTTGCACTCATCCATAGTTCTACCATTTTGCAATTTACTCCCCCTGTTGTATGCTAACTTTACTTGCTCTAAAATGTTATGATTCTTATATCTTGAATGTTTGTTTGTTAAATTCCACGCCAGGATGCTCAAGGGTTACATACGCTAACCGCCCCTAACTTTAAAAAGACAGACTAGAGGGAAGGTACTACCAACTCATAGGCTGCTCTTTACCACCGCAGTGGGATTGGTTGTCCCATTATAGCGCCCTCACTGATGAAAGGGTGAGCATGTAAGGTGGCACTATTTTGCTCCAACGACCCACAGATTGTAAGTCAAGCGCTCCAACAACTAAGTTCTAGTCTTGAATATAATTGTTAATATTTTTTTCTGATATTTTCAATTAACCCTGAAGTCCGTTCAAATGCATTTAGTGTTTTGAAAATAAATAATTTCTCCTTCGATAAGAAGTTTAAGGTTTTAATTTTACTTACATTATACGGAAATTCGAAACACAGAAAGCAATGACTTTCTAATTTTTCTGACTACTCATCTTTCACCTAGATATGCTGTTTATCAATTTAAACTAAGGCTATTTCTAGATTTACTTATAGTTATTTCCATAAATAAGAAATTATCAACAATAACGATTAATATTTTTGACAATACATTTCTTCGCAACAAATGACATCTTTCAACACCACGTGACGCCATGAACCCGGCTTGTAACATCTGTATAATGGCGGAGGAGCAGGAATTGGCAAGAGATGAGACGAAAGTTGACAATCGTCAAACTTTTAAAGAACTTGAAAACAAAGATCAGTCTCTCGAAACAAATCAGAACTTAGAATTTCAGAAGAATAAAAATGGGGAAAACAAGTCTTCGGAAAAGTAGGTGATACACACGTTTTGTTTACTATATTAAAATATAGTACTACTAGTAGTCGTAATACTGCTGCACAGTACTTAGTAATACTAATAGTAGTGGTAGTATTAGTAACACTAACACTGAATGTGAAAAGTGATGTTTACAAATGATAAGCATGTTCCAACTATTGTCTTTGTACAGAAGAAAATGGTTCTTGTTTTTTTTTTTTCTATTACCAATCTAACAACATAACATAATATGTTGGTCTACATCTTTGTAACTAAAAATTTTACTAAAGAAAACTTTTTTTTTCTGTTGCCAGGACAATAAACGTATTTTTTTTTCCTGTAAAAATTATTGCTTAAGACATAGTTTAAGTATTTACTGGCCTGTTGTTCATATGTACTGTTTTCATATCAAGTTAAATTTAATACTAACCTGTAACTAGCCATAAAAAAGTTTAAAGTAGCAGTTACGTATGCTTAAATATTGAATTATATTTTTTCCTTTTTATATACAGCAAAAATGAAGGTGAAACAAAAAAGAAGTCGAAAAAGAAAAGACATAAAGACCTAGAGGAACATGATTCTAAAGGTGACATGAAGGTAATGGACATGCTGTGGGTAATAATGGAATTGACCTGAATTATGTAAATATCAAACCCTTAGTGGTAAGTAGAAAAAATAAGACTAGATAATGTAGCAGGATCAGACAATGATTTCCCCATTGTTTTAAAAGAGGTCAAAGATCATATATGTGAACCTTTCTCTCTCTCTCTTTCATTTTTTGATGGATCATTAGATCGTGGGCATGTGTTGAGGATTGAAGAGTTACTAATGCTACTCCTATTTTTAAAGAAAATGATGTATGGAGTTTTGGTCATATTTATTTTAATAATGGTAAATTCTCATATGCCTTGTTTTATCCTCCTGCAGTTTGTCATTTTAATTTGATCTCACAAACATTGAAAATTTTTAGTAAATTATTAGAAAAAGTAAGTGGTTTTCATTTAGCCATTTTAGTATTTGGCAGATGAATCTGACTGAACATATGTAAAAACATGTGTTAAAATACATGACTCACTGTTAATTTGTATTGATAACATCATTGAAGAGTTATGCTGGTTGCTGCTAATACCAGGCTTGCATGGAACACCAACTCACTAAGTTAAAAGCAAAAGCAGAAATGGCATTTATAAGCTCTAGTAATTATGTTGGTTATCAAATTTTCTTTAAAGAATTCGAGAACCAAACTCTGAAAACAAAATACCACAATACTTTTTAATGTTATGCAATTTGGGCAGCTAGACAATCACAGCTGATGTTGTGCAAATGGATGATCACTGCTGTCAGAGCATCACAATTTTTGAGCAAGGCCTTCTACCTGTCTGCATCAGTGACTAACTTACTAGACAAAGCAGGTTTTTCATGCAAGAGCTCTGTTCATTTAGGCTAAATTACAAACTGATGGCTTTATGATCAGGGCATTACTGTTTTCTTGTGAACAGTCTAATTGTTGGATACAGGTTCTGCTACATGTGTGGTCTATTCTTGATTGTTCCATACACATAATCAAAACAATCAACTTCTAGAGATAACCTCATCTAAGTTCTTTGCTAGAGTGGGTGCCATCGAGACAAACTCATCTAAGTTCTTTGCTAGAGTGGGTGCCATTGAGATAAACTCATCTAAGTTTTTTGCTAGAGTGGGTGCCATTGAGACAAACTCATCTAAGTTCTTTGCTAGAGTGGGTGCCATCGAGACAAACTCATCTAAGTTCTTTGCTAGAGTGGGTGCCATCTCATAGGCTCAGGTTTCAAAGCTTATAATTATAATGCATTAAACATTGCAAAGGGCAGATCCACAAAAACAGTAATGGTAATCTTGTACCCATTTTTTCATGTTAATTTATTTATTTATTAAAATTATATTCTTCTTTTGAGTGGATATCTATTTACTTAATAGTAGGCTGTGTATAAGTATATATTTTTATATCCAGTGAATGTTTCTTCTTTGTTAGGGAATGCCACTTGCAAAACTTCAAGACTTAAAGAAAGCTATGGAAGTACTCACTCTTAATGTAGGGCAAGAGGGACCTGCAAAAACTGCAGAAGAAGCTTTGCACAAACGTTATGAATTTTGGGAAACTCAGCCTGTTCCAAAACTTGGTGAGTATATTAATTTTTTTTTAGTCTTATGTGAAATAGATAGATTTTAATTATATTCATAGCATAAACTGATTAGAGAAAAGGTCAAAATGCACATTAAAAAGTTTATCTAGCATTTCATACTTAGTCCCTTAATTTGTGTTGAAAATAGTTGTATTTCGTTGATGTTCTTTTTTATTATTTTCCTTACATTTTTTTTTCAAAGTATCTTCAGTACAATTGGTTAGAGTTTTCTATGAGGTTGCTGTTGGGTTATTATGAGATCATAGAATATTTCCTTACTGTTACATTCATGTTAATAGTTATCCTCTTCAGAATTTTTTTTTTTTTACTCAACTCCAGTGATATTTTCAGTGAAGTTTTGATCAAACCCAATAATGTTCTCAAGGATGTATGTATGTGAACATGCTTAATGTTATTTGATTCTGTATAACTTGTTTGATTTAATTGTTAAAATAAAAATCATAACTTACAATGGCTAATTCCCCAGTTCTGGCAGTTATGTACTTGGAACTTGAATGTAGCTTCTTGTGAACTTGTGTTCTCAGATCTATAATTTGTGAGCCATGGATTGCCAGAAGTAGCAAAAATATGTCTTGGCAAGCATATATTAATTCATATTTGCCATCATCAACTGTGGGGGTGAAAATGTCAAATACAAAATGTGGTTTCTCTGTGTAAAAACACTGCGTGTACACAGCACTGTCACAAAAAACTGATGCTACTTCCTGTTAGTATTTTTTTTTACTTGTCAGTTGTTTTACTTTAAAATCCAGTAAATTTGAAATCACTTATTACATGTTACTTCCTCATTGCCAAGTAACCATACAAATGTATGAGCCTCCAAAATCTAAGATTATGTAAGTTGTAACTTTTGGTGGGAGATGAGGAATTGGTTATAGGTAATAGATAATTAAACATAAGAGAGAACTATTAACAAATTCTGAAAGAGAGGATGTGACAGGTGGGTGTGGCACAAGGGTTCTGAGTTTGTGTTTGATAGCTCTGTAACCAAACAGAAATGAAGGCTATGAAAATTATGGTTTGTCTGAGTAATGATGATTTTATAGTGAGTAATTTACATTTAATTTCATACTTTTTTGAAGGAGTGGTGGATAAAATAGAGAAGATACCTAGAGAAAATGTGTCACACTAGGAAAATTCAAGGTTTTTTTGAATATTGCCTTATAGAATTAAAAACTTAAAACTTGTATACTATTAAAATATGAATTATTAACTAAGATTTAATGCTGTACTAATTGGTATAACATAAACAAAAGTAGTTTAATAAACTTTCGAATGTAAGACACTAAAACTTTGTGTCATGCGCAGTAAATGATATCTGTGGTGATAGGATATAATGGTGATGTCAAAGTCAATTCGTAATTTTAAAAAAAAAGATCATCAAATGACACAGACAGTGAAAGTAAACAATTAAATCAAATACAAAAATTGTGTACTAGTAAGGTTTAAGGAGTTTGAAAAATGCAGATTCATTGGTTTTAAATATACAGCTGGCTCAAGAAATAATAATCTGATGTCTCCATTCTTCTGTGTACTTTGTGCATATCTGCTAGAGAAATGATAGCAGATAGGTCTGATATACTTACTTAATTTTAATTGATAGTTGCATGATAGTTACCATTTACTTTACAACAAAATTTACAAATTGTGTAGATGTAACTTTCAAATTCATTAACACATTCTGTCCCTTCCATCTCACTTTTAAAATGTTTATTTCAGCGAGGACAAAAGTTTGGTCTTCCGAGTCATTGACCAAATAACCACCATATGTTGACTGCTTTCCTTGTTCTTCTAACCTATTGATATTAATTTTTATAAGATAGTCAGTAGTGGTTTTATCCAGGCTGTAACACCAATCACATTTTATTTCAGTTTAATCACCTCTTAAAGTATTTGTCCAGTGCATCATTGATGGCTAACAACAATCTGTATTTTGTCTTCTGTTAGATCTGCTTTAGTTTTCATTTTGTTTAGTGAGTACCCCTTCAATTTTTATTTTGACATGTACACTTGAACTCACTTAGCATGGGGGCCTTCCTCATTCTGCATGCAAAGAAACTTGATTTGGACACTTTTTTAGTTTGCCCAAGGCAATGAGCATAATGAAGTCATTTTGGTTGAAACAACAAGGAGATTTTTGATTTTTCCAAAAATATCATGAAGTAGAAGTATGTAAAAAAACTCATTGAAAAAGATTTCGATGTGCACAGTTATGCTTGGCGAGTTGTTCAGAAGTTTATGAAGAAGAATTTGCTTATTGTGTATCCGTCTTGTCCTAATGGATTTTCTTAGATGATCTTTCATTATTTCTGTTTTCTCTTTACTTCTCTAATCTTCTTTGAGGAATTTTTGTAAAACAGGTAGATGGATATCAGGATATCAACTACTGTTTTTGTGTATGATGTTTTAAAGATGTCCTACAGGGTTAGCTTCAATCTGTGGTCCATATAATGCATTTAAACAAGTCAAGGTGTATCTGCTACTAATAGTGTGACCACACCATATCTAATGCTGAAATGGACACTCAACACCATTCACTTCAAAGTCAGACATCACAACATTAGAAAACTCTGCTAACTGACTGTTCCTGAATGACACAAGTGTATCTGCACACTTTTGACTATGTTTATTGTTTGTGTAATCATTTGTATAGTGGAACATAAAAAGAAATGGAATAAGTTTAAAATAAAATTAGTCACATCGCTACCATAGAGAGATATCCAAAAATTTTATCATATGTGATTTAGCTTAACCTTGCATTTTGAAGTATAGTTTTATTGGAAGTGCTAAAATCATGATCTGTTGCCTTTTATGCTGTTTTCAAAGTAGTTAATAATGAACTACCAGTTTTAGTTTTCTTTAGAAGAGCATAAAAGTAGAAAAAAGTGTTTTAAGGCACAGCTGTTAGGAAAAGTCATAAGCAATTATTTATTATATAAATTAATATTATTGAAAATCAGCTAAATAATGTTCCAAGTACTTTATTACTATTATATTTCAGTATTGCAAATACATTTACATATAATTTGTGGTTCTATATATATTTTATTTTGCCAAGCATTTCTCAAGATGTTAAAATGTTTGTACAATATTCATAACTTACTTTAGTTTTTGTGCTAACCAAAGTAATTTTATGCATATATTTTGAAATTGTAAAAGGTTGTTACCTCAGGAACAAAATTAATTAGAATTTTGTTATCTACAAAAATTTATTTAATGTATTAAATTCCCAAAGAAAAATGTTCAAAAAGTTTAAACTTGCATTTCTGCACAGCTCGGAAGAGTTTCACTTGTAAATGATGAAATTACAGATTTATTTAGAATTTCTATAGGATACAAAAGCACTGGTTTATATTTGCTAAGAAAATATATCCCTTGAGAATAGAATTATCTATCTTTTGTTTCTCATGTGTGTTTGTTTTTCCTCTTTCTCTGCTTTTATTACATTGTGCTTTGTGGTGCTTCATGTAGGTGTATACTTATTTCCCAGGAAAACTGTTTGACACTGCAGCCTTATTTCTGTTTCAGATGAAAAGGTTGTAGAATTTGGGCCCATTGAATCTCCCAAAAATGAAGATGATATCAGAAAAACGCCTTATTCACTTCCTCAGGGCTTTAAATGGGATACTCTTGATATCACTGACCCTTTGATTGTGAGTATTAAACCAATATATTAATTCACCTAAATTAGACCTAGATCTATTTCTCTTTATATATAAAACTAAAAACTTGTCTATTTTGAATAACAAAGAGCTAGTTGTTCTAACACAATTGCATCCTGTTTCTTAAACTTTGAACTGAGAAGAATAAATGTTATACTTATTGGTTATAGTCATAAATAAATGTGAGGCCTAAGAAAAGAATTGTGTGGTTACAGTTACATCTTGAAAAAAGGGATGATAGGTAGGTTGGATTCTTTTTTCTTTAAAGTATATTTTTCTCACGAGATGCATGTTTTTTTACTTTTACATTAGAATAAATGTAAATTTTGAAAAAAATTAACAATCAAATTTTAAATAGAAATATTAATCCTAACCGTATTTCAACACTTTTTAATTAAAAAATGTTTCATAATTGTTATTTTGTCATTTTATGCTATTTATTTAATGTATTAAATTCCCCCGAAAAAATGTTAAAAAATATTAAACTTGCATTTCTGTACAGCTCCAAAGAGTCTTGCCTGTAAATAATGCATTCATAGATTTTTTCTAGAATTTTTATGTCAAACCAAAGCATAGGTTTATATTTGCTAAGAAAATATCATCCTTTGAGAATAGAATTATCCATCTTTTGTTTGTAATTTTTTTTCTCTTTCTCTGCTTGTATTATTACATGCCTCCATTTATATGCCTTTTAATCTCTCATCATGTGACCTGAACAACTACTAACACAGCTCAACTTTGAAAACTAGTACAAGCAAGATTTAAATACCATTGGATAGACCACATTATAAAATATTTATGTCAATGTAGAATGAATAAAGTGACATATGAAGTAAGTTATGGTTTCATGGGGAAGTGACAACTTGTAACTTCTGCTGAGAAAAACAATAGAATCTAACATGAATATTAGAAGACAAATGAAGGACCTTGAAATTGTTTGTAGTTTCTTTAGATGTTTTGTCATTCCAGATTTTTTTCATGTTAAATTATATTGTTTCAAGGGTATGTAAATTTTCTTCTGACATCTTGTAAGCTTAGTTAGATTTAGTGAATACAGTAAATGATGGCATAATATTCCAGTAACTCAAACCCTTGTTTATTGAATATTATTGTTAAGTTCATCATATTCAGACAACACACATAAATAAATAAAAAATCTTGTTATGTATTCATAAGAAAATATATTTATTGGACATAAACTGATTTTGACCGTTAATATTATTTGCAAAAATATATAATTATCTAGGCTTACTTGATGCTGTTTTTAAAGATCAGATCTTAGGTTACTGTAAATGTTTGTCAGTTTTTGGCATAGTTTTAACAATTTATAACAAAGAAAAGGTTACTACTGTATTCAGAAAAAATGTAGTATCAAAAGAAATATAATAAAGGAAATCAGTCAATTTCAAATTGATTGGATATATATAAAATGAAAATTCTGAACAACAATAAAAACATTGAAATTCTAAGGCAAAAAAAGAAGTATTTTTTAACTGAAACTAGATGCTATGTAGTAAGTTTTCCAGGTTTCATGGAATATGGTTATGTATGTCCACTTTGAGAAGAAAAAAAAAATCAGCAAGTGTCATTGATACCCCTCCATTTCAGGAAAATTTAAATGATTACAGTATCAGTAGATACTCTTTAGTGACGATGGCTAAAGTTGAGACATGAATCATGTGCCTTATATATATATATACATACCTTTATAATTATTGTTATTGCATCAACAACTTCCATGGTTATGCATCAGTAATAGGGTTGATTGAGTAACTGAAGCATGTGGTATTTTTAGGCTTTATTTATATGAACTAGTCATAGTTAAATACGTTCTTGTTTTAGGATTTTTTATATAGTAGCACTGATGGATCCAAGATTTGAACAGGGGGGACTACTCAAAAAATGTCACTCTTTATTTTCAATAGATCTATTTTTAATAAATCAACTACAATATTCAACACTTGATAACAAAATTGCACATTAATGACATAATAAGTACATTAAATGCAAAACTGCTTTTCTTCAACTATATAAACTTATCAGGATAATTTCACCAGTAACTCAAACATTTATGGCATCATGTTAATTAAATTGATAATTAATTTGAAATAATTAGTGAAAATTAGTCTTACTGTTCAAATAGCACTCAAATTACCCTAAAATGAAAATGTCCATTTTCTTTATAATTAATGTATATATGACCTGTTATACAAAATATCATGAAGCATTTAAAATATAATTCCTTCTTGCCTTTTCTTTCATAGTTTTTTTTCTTAAAAGGAGGTGTGTGCCCCCTCTTGATCCACCTATGACTGATGACAGTTGAATACAAATATGTAAAGACTACTGACTCATGAAGGGGTCAAAATGATGAAACTTTGTAATAGTTTAGTTTCTCCCACATAACATAAGTTTATGGTTTACTAGCACGAACAGCACTAATGATGAATAACATTTTGGACTAAGCCTTTCTTCATGTCATTGTTACCTTTAAGTTACAGTTGCATATATTAGAATTGTGTATCCAGATACAGAGCTTTTAGTTTCTTGCTGTAATTTTAACTGTTTATCTATTAAGACTGAATTGATTAAGAAAGTTCGATAGAGAATTAAACTTGTTCTATATATTTTTAGTTGAAAGAGCTCTACCTCCTGCTCAATGAAAATTATGTTGAGGATGATGATAATTTATTTCGATTTGACTACTCTCCTGATTTTCTTGAATGGTAAGTAACATCATTGATGTTTAAGTATTTTATCTATGAGTAATCATGTAACAGTTTAAAGTAGTCTGCATGAATTTTAAAGTTGGGCTTCAAAAAGTTTTTTTTTTTCAGACAAGAAAGAAATTCCAGTATGAAGCTAAAATTGTACTTCAATTTTTCTTAACCTTCAGTATACTACATCTAATTATTTTATCTTGTTAAAGACTGTAAATAATATTTTTGGATATGTTGGAGGGTAAATTTCTGAAAGATGAGTGTACAATGTCTACAACAACTAGACAGGCTGTACCACATTTTTTTTTAAATCTTTTATATGGAGTTTAAATGTTGCACAAAAAAACGAATGCTACTTATTGTATCTAGTACATTTTTAGGCAACTTAAAATTAAACTTCAAACACTTCTTTTCATACAATAATTGTTTTAAAGAAAGATCTTATACCAGATACAGTCAAACAGTTATTCAGACAGTCTCTGAAGAATTATTAGGGCAACTAAATATTCATTGGTAATTTATTTTGTTAATTGTTTGTATTTTCAATACTTAAAGGAATCTTTCTTTTTTGCTTAAAAAGCAGCTTGCAACCTTTTTTTCATCCTATACGTCAGTTTCTTGCAAACTGATTCAATGCTGTTCTATGTTTCTGGCAAGTCTTTCTATAATTAACTCTTTGTGGACTGGGTGGGGGTTCACTGATATTCCTTTTCACAGTATAAATATTCAACCACATTGCATGAAATTTAAAACAAATGTATTAAAATAGTATATAATCATGAGACACTGTTGTCATAAAAAACACATTAAGAATAGTTTCCTTCATTTTAGAATTTAATTTTTTTTTTTATCAGTCCGAAAGTTCAATTTTATATATCTAATCATTTTCAACTTTTTCATGAACCACAATAGCAGTTTATAATAGGGATCGTAAGGAATTGCACAAAACCCTATTTAATGTTTGGGCGAAATGCACCTTAACCCTATTGAGACAGGTACCCTTTTCTGCACAGGTCATGAGGTTTTACTTAGATATATTCAAAACTTAGTTAAGAAATTTTACGATCAATGTATGCCAATGAAGTTAGAATTAAAATTAACATTATAGTTCAAAGTTTTATATTATCTAAATTTTAATTGCTTTATTTCAAAGGGAACCTTAAAGAAAAATTAGAAAACTTGAGCTATTTTGTCAAGTTCACAAACTTTGAATTTTTCATCTCTGTAACTTGAATACTTCTACATACACACCCTACTTCTATGTATAAATAGAAACTAGGTTAATTGTTCTGTTTACACATTCTTTTTTTAAGCTCCTTAGGGCACATTTGGAGAAAGGAGAAATAAATTTCTTTGAACTCTTGACAGAAGCCACACCCACTATCTACACAAATAGTCTCAATTTCTCAACCAATTATACTTACTCAAGCTAGACGTTTATAATCATGGAACATAAACTTTCTTACATTTAGATTTCTAGCTGATTTCTTCAGATTTACATCTTGATTATGCCTGTGCAGTTTCTCCATTAATTCTGCCTTCTATTTGTACAAGTTCACCAATACCTGAAGCTACAGTACACCCTCAAACTATAGTTTCCTTCATCATGTTTCATGGTGGGTTGTTGATACCCCTCTTTAATCTTGTGTCTTATGTGCATCCTGTATCACTGTGTCAAGTTGTGCAGATAGTTTTTTCAAAATTAGATATAAAATTAATAGGGGGGTCATATCATCCTGTATCACTGTGTCAAGTTTGGTGCTGATTGAGCAAGAAATGTGAAAACATATAAAGAACAGACACATACACACATATTAACATTTATTTATATAGATACTAGTACCATTATTATAAAAATGTAGGCTTAAAATTCATTGGTAACTGACAGTGAAAACTATTTTTCTTGCTTCAATATATGTTCTTTATTTGTGGTTATAAAAACAAGTCAAATGTAAAAATTAGAAACTTGTAGTTTAGCTTAATTTCAAAAAGAAAATTTTTTTTCAGAAATTCTCAGTATTTAGTTCTCTGTGACAAATGATTTGTCTGCACTCAAAATTGCACATTTTAGATTTTCTTTCTACCATTATATAATATTCTCAGTGTCCAATTAATCAGAAACATACTGTACATATTGACAAGCCAGAATCTAAATTCAAAACCTCCAATTTTTGTGTTTTACTGAAACAGTGAAAAAAAAAGTCAAGCCCACATGACACATCCCTCCCATGTCATTCTGTCTTTCAAAAAATGTCATTGATTTTCTCTGACATTGGGATTATTTATAACAGTAAAGAAATAACTTTTTCTTTACAGGATTCCTTATACTATTCTTTTGTTGTGGTGCTTGTAAGTAGACATTTAGCCTTAGTTTCATAGTTTGTGATCATGTTTTTCTGCTCCAAGCAGCAAACAGAATTTGGTTAACTTACTTATAGCTTAGTTAGAAAGCTAGTTAAATTGTATTAGTTTTGTGGCATTCTATTCTAGTGCCTAATATATTTTTTGGGCTCTAAAATTTGTATTTGAAAGGAACATTAATGATTTTGTAAAGAACCAACAAAATATGAAAAATTAGTGCTAAGGAAGTATGCTGTGAAGTACATATTAGTGAAATAGGTAAATACAAGTCCAAAATTTCTTGTTTTTACATATAGTTTTGTTTATATATTGTTTAATAAAAGTCACTTAAATGTAAAAATTAAGACTTATTAGATTAACAAAAAGTAACTTTAGAAAAATTAAAATAAAAAATTCATAAGACCTGCTCAAACTATGTTACAATATACAGCAATTCTAAAGAAAAGAATTTTTGATTTATTTTCATATTTTTAAACTTTTTTTTTCTCTGAACATTGATGATTTCACTACAGTTAAAGTTAGGGTAGAAAAAAAAGAAAAGAGATAACATATAAAGTTTTAGCAAAAAATACTTTTAATATTCATTTAGGAAGCTTTAGAAGTTATGCAAATGAAATATGGAAACTGTAAGATGAAAGGAAGTATTTCTTGATCTTATCATGAAGATCACCTTTCATTCAGATGGACTCAGTAAAGGCTCCATAAATTCACAGACAAATCTTTAGTAGAAATAATTTAATAAAAACCTGCTTTTTTGTTTACACTCTGGCTTATGATGTTTGCTAAAAACTTACCAAATTTCATGAAGATACATTTAGTAAATTCAAAATTATAGTAAACATTACTGTTTTTCTTCACAGAATTGTGGTCAGTGCAATGAACCAATGGCATTAACAGGGTGCTAAATTTTTCTGATGGCTTCTTTCACAACACCACTCTCCCATCTGAGCCAAATAAATTAGATATGGATTCATCTGATGAAATGATCTTGTTGAAAAAAAGCTTCTGGCTTTTGGAGGTATTTTTTGGCAGAGACTAATCTTCTCCTCTTGTTGATTGATAAAGTGCTTTGTTCTAGCGGCCCCTAACCATTGAATCTCTTCTATTTTATTCTATTTCTTACTGTTTGAGCTGACACTTTAATGATATAGTCTTCAATTAACTTCTGCACAAAAATTGAAGAATCTATTGACCTGTGATGATTCATTTTCTTCCTTTCAAGTAGCTTACTTTCTTGGTTTTTTTTGTATTTTTGCAGTAAAGAGTGCACTGCCTGGTGTGTTATTTTCACCCTTTTTCAGATTTATCTTTAATTTTAACATTCAGTGGACAAAATTACTACTTGCACATGGTCAGCATCTTAATAATCAGTGCAGGTGTAAAAGGGAAGAAGCAAGACATGCAACTGCATCCAGGCTTCACATGTAAAGTGGGGGTGGGGGGAGTACAGCCATGAGTTCATTTTTTTCTCTCTGTTTTTTCTGAGTCTGCTTTAACAACTAATTGTAAAAAATAATTTATATTCTGCTTCCATCCATTTATATGTGTACTCTATTAAGTTCAAATCTGTTATGCATATAGATGCTTAAGAACTCAAATTGGTGGAATGCTCATTGTGTACAAGTGTAAATTGTTTTGTGGCTTAAGATATTCTCTGTAATCTAAAAGTAATATTTTTGTGAAAATAACACTTTTTATTGTAAATAGGATAAAGCAGCTAATGACATAGAGATGAAATAATATATTAAACATAATACTAATTATTCATAAATGCTATTCACCTCTCCACAGAACAGATTGCTATTACCTCACACCACTGCCCAAAAGTTTGAATGAAATTTCTACCCCTTCACATAATAATGTGTACTGTGCCAGTCTGCTATGTAATCAGCATAAGACTACAGCCTATCACCAATAGGAAGGTGACACATCCTCTGATGTGCAGTACTCTCTGTTGTATATACCAAAAGCTCTACAGTGATTCAGTTGTGTTCTGTTTTCTACTATAGAATATTTGAAGTGTTAGCTTTCTTATTTTTATTTATTTCATTTTAAGGTAGAAAGATACACATTTTTAAAATTTTAATTATAGCTTCTTACATAAATTATTATCTTCTTTTACATTGATTTGATTTCATCTCTTAACTGTGTATATGGGCTTGGTCAATTTGACTGACCTTGTCACAACTTTGTAACTATGAAAGTATACATAATATATCTGTGGTAGAGAAATGTATATGCATGCCACATCATTTTTCCAATGAAAAACCTGTTTAATAAGTTTTTAAGGTGAATTTGGTAAAAGTAAATTTTTTACCTTCCAGGGCTCTCCAGCCACCTGGTTGGCTACAAGACTGGCATTGTGGTGTTCGGGTCGTGAAAAGCAACAAACTTGTGGGTTTCATCTGTGCAGTTCCTGCCACAATTCGAGTTTATGATCAGTGTGTTTTCTTTCTATTTATTTTATGTTTATTTTGTAGTTTATAGAGTGTGTGTGAAATTTAGAACCAAAACCATAATTAATTTTACTGAAACAAAATCTACTTTTTTCAAGTTTATCGACAAACGTTTGATGGTCATAGAGTTCAGAATTTTAATTAAGAAATATAGAAATTGTAATCTTGTGTATTAGATGTTCAGAAAATACATTGTAAGTCTGCTCATTTTGTTTTATTTTAGTGTTCAGAAAATGGTTGAAATAAACTTCTTATGTGTTCACAAAAAGCTTCGGTCAAAACGGATGGCTCCAGTACTCATTAGAGAGATCACAAGAAGAGTGAATTTACAGGGAATATTCCAAGCAGTTTATACTGCTGGAGTGGTCTTACCAAAACCTGTAGGAACATGTAGGTATGTAATGTTAAAAAACTGTCATACATTTTTTTTTAAAATTTTAACAAATATCTTATGGTAAATAATTTCTCTTTTATATAAATGTTGTGCTCTTCTGTCAGTGTATTGCTCTTTTTTTATTAAGAATTTTATTCTACACTAAGTTAATTGCTGGGGTTGGCTTATAATTTTTTATAACATAGGTATTGGCATCGTTCCTTAAACCCTCGGAAACTTATTGATGTTAAATTTTCCCACTTGAGTAGAAATATGACTATGCAGAGAACGTTGAAATTGTACAAGCTTCCTGAGGTATGTTTAAAACTGATATTTCTCTTAGAAAGGCTCATAGAAATAAATTGCTTTAATTAAAGAAACAATTTATTGTATTTCTGGATTTTTTTGTAGAAATACATGTACGTTGTGAATGATTGTGGTGTACAGTATATATTTTTATATTTCATAAAACATTATTATAATGAAACCTATATATGTGGGTACCTAGTATCTAATAGTTCAGTACCATAAATTTTTCTTTCTTCTATCTTTACTGACCTAAGAATACTACACAAAAATTGTTCACTTTTTTTTCCATTTATGCCATTAATACAAATAATTTAATTTTAGAATAATGGTTTGTCAAAATCCAGCTTAAATATAGACCTGGTAATGATGTGAATATTTGAAAACACAGTGTTTACAACAAATATTAGTTTTTTCTTCAGTAGAAGTGAATCCATGTGTGATGTTTTGCTATTTTTATTTTTGTGCTCAAAATTACACAAGTACATATATGCTGACAAGAGATCTATAATATTTTGAATTGATTAAGCATGATCTCTTTTTAAGTTGCCCCCCGGTGGCACAGCAGTATGTCTGCAGACTTACAATGCTAGAAACTGGGTTTCAGTACCCGTGGTGGGCAGAGCACAGATAGCCCATTGTGTATCTTTATGCTTAACTTCAAATAAATAAACTTCTTAAGAATAAAGTACAATAAAGTATCACAATAACTGATGACAACCGTGTTTTTAGATAATCCTGTACATGTTTCTGTAAGAAGAGTTTATAGTAGTATTTCATCTAGAATTTGCTATTTCTACATTGATACACTGAGGCCTTTAACTGAATACCACATCTTTGCAGGCTAGCTGGGTTACAACAAAGAAAGTTTTAGCTGACAGTTTTTGTGATATTGGTTACTTTCCAATCGATACATCACAAAATAAATGGAATTACAATATTATAATATTTTACATAAGTGAATAAGAATGCAAGGAAATATCTCTACAGTCATATGAAAAATTAATATTTACACAAGGTGTTATATAAATGGTTGCTACAAGATCAATAAACATATTTGAATGACATTCTGTATGAATTGTGTGTCATAAAACATCTCAAACGTATTCTATATGATGTATGTCTTTTCTTTCTCAGAACCCAAAGATTGAAGGATTTCGACAACTTGCTCCAAAAGATACCCATCAAGCACAGAAACTTTTGAATGAAGTATTTTTTTAAGAATTCAATAATGAATATTTTCTTTTTGGAAAATTAGTGTTGGCACTTTAATTAATTTTTAGAACATTTATTTATATCTATATGTAGACATTGAATTAAATGAGCAAGAATAACTATTCTCATTTCTATTTCTATATCCTCATCTTTCAAACAATAGGCAATAGAAGTGCTTTTACAGCATCGTGAAATTACTATTAATAATTTTAAATAAATTCTCTGGGGCCATTATCAATAAATTAATCCCCAAATATGGATGATGTGAAACATTAGACATTTATAACAGTTGCATTACTACATCCAAAATTAAAAATAAACATTATTTCTAAATGTTTCAGTATTTGTAAAAGCAGAAAATAAAGGTAACTAAATACCTATTATTATTTAGTTTTCCATTTGAAAAATAGATAGTGAAATTGCATTAAACAAAGTAACTCTAGTGCTATCTGTATCTATATTTTTTCTTACGATCTGCATTCATTTTAGATTTTGATTTTTTTCCTTACTTTTATTTGTTTTTATTTCTATCTTCCAGTAACTGAAACTAAAGTGTAACAAAAATGCTTCTATTAATTTGTTTTTCAGTGACAAATCTTTTGACGTTTTTGTTAAGTACAAATGGCATTATAATCTCATCATACTTGAGTTTAAGAGTTTTCTTTTTGAGTAGTTTGGAAGATATATATATATATAGCTGTATACATAAAAAAACACAGTAATACAAAAAAATGTTTTGGAATTATTCAGAAATTAGTAAAATACATCTTAGAATTAGTCTGGAAACATGCATCATTTTTATATCAATCATCAAATACACCGTACTCAGTTTGTTATATAATTTCATGTTAGTATGTATGCCTGTTGGTTGTTTTTTTCTTCTTTTTACATTAGATGTTCAAGTTTAAAACTATTTTTATTTAGTACCAACTATTATCCACAAAGGGACATACTATATCTGTCAGGTGTTTAGAAAGTCATATATGGGTTAAGTGATAAAACTGATAATTGGTCATGTTAAAGCGGATGTTCTCGTTGTTGATGCCCCCCCAGTGGCACAGTGGTATACTTATAGAAACTGGGTTTCGACACCCGTGGTGGGCAGAGCACAGATAGCTCTTTGTGTAGCTTTGTGCTTAATAAGAAACAACAACTCTTTGCTGATTTTCAAAAGGCCACACAGGTGAAGAGTGTAGTCATTTATTGGTCTCAAATGGAAATACAGATTGTCTGAAAATATTGTTTTTTTCATTTTAAGTCTAACAATGCACCGTTCATTTTTCTTTCTGCGGCCAAGTTTGGATTCTTCATAATTTTTTTATGTAAATAGTGGAAACACTTAATAGCTCATTTAATATCATGTTTTTTTATCTACACTTGCTCCGCTCTTTCATCAGACAGTACTTGTATATTTCTCTTGTTGTTTTTTCTACAGTTTACTGATAGCTTGATGATCTTGTTTAGTTAAATTTAATGTGGGAGGATGATAAAAATGGAGAATATTGGTGATAGCAGTATGCTCAGTTTTTAATTCTGAGACTGACACATTAGTTTGTTTTAAGGCATCTATGTAGCTAAAAGTTGAGTTTTAGGTATATTCAGAATGGTTATAGAAAGGTTTATAACCCATTTACTTGATGTTGAAGTTTTATAATATGTCATTTTTTCATGTTCTTTTTTGTACTGATTTATTAACAAGGTTTCAAATTTACTGTAGAGTTCATCAGAAATTGTTCATTTCACATATTTAGCTTGGTTGGTATACAGCCATTTGAAGTTTTGTAGTTTGTCATGGCACATGTGGACTTGTGCTTTTAACTCTAACCAATCATATTGTATATTAACTTGGCAGCCACATTGTGACAATAGTAAACCATGTTGTATAGTAATTTGGCATCTATTAGAAGGTTCCAGATTTTTGTCACTGAATGACATTTACATCTATGTAAAGAATGATTAAAATGTCTGTGTAAATAATATTATATGCAATTTTGTATAATGGAGGCTGCTTTCCAGAATAATTATACAGTATTGTTGTGTATCATCATTAATGAACCTGAAATTTTGACCATTGTTAACTCACATAACATTGTTGGACATTTAACAAATCTTTGTATGAGGTTAATAATTCACCAGGAGCAGACTGGTGCATCATCTTAATATTAATTAGCAATTAACGTTTATTGGATGGTGAAATTTGTCACATACAAGTAAGAAAGGGGATTTTAATGACATGTTGTGTCCATTTTTTTATGTTACAGGTAAAGAATTACCATTAGGAGTAGTTGTCAAATGGTTTACTTTTTTTATTAATAATTATGCCCACAAAAATTTTTTACTATTTTATTTACTGCAACAACTCCAAATGAATGAAAACAAACAGTAAAAATTTTTTTGTAAGTTGAGGTAAGTTACTACATGAAGTAAATGAATTCACATGCATTATTTGCATCATCATTATTTATAGAGAGTAGTATCTTCTGGTAATAAAAGATGCATTCCAAAGTTGAGGAGCTCTGTCATACATTTTGTGAGGGATAATAGTTAGACTATACATTGTTTTTGTAAAAGAATAGTTAAACATACTGCTGTATTTGTCTTTATAAATGACTAAATAAGTCTGCTGATTCCATAGACTCAAAAAATAGCTATAAATATTATTTATAAATATGTAATAATTACATTTTTAATTTACAATTTATTAGAAGTTTTATAAAATACTTCTTATATTCACCTTCCTAGTATCTCAGTAAGTTTGAGTTATGTCCAGTATTTACAGAAGAAGAATTCCGTCACTGGTTCATTCCACGACCTGGTATTGTAGACAGCTATGTAGTTGAGGTTTGTTTTTTTTATATTTTAGTTTGCAAAACAAACATAACATCAGTTTTAAGTTATTTCTGCAGATAAACCTGTATTACATTGCCCAAAACAGTAAAGGTATAATTGGAGTTTTCTGTATTCTAGTTTTGTCAAGTTACCACTATTGTTATTAAATAAGGTCAGTTTCACCTCTGAATTCATTTTTTATGCAAAATAAGTTTGAGTTGAAGAGTCATATAATCTGATATCCAGATGCTACTATTGGAACCCATATCCACAAAACATCATTTGGAACTATGGGTTTTGCAGCCCAATTAGTGATCACAAAAGTTTGGTAATATGGCATACAGTCATAGTGGTCACTAATGGAAGTTATCCATTATGCTATTTACTTAAAATGAAGGAGTTGCTGAGAGTAATATGGCCATCAGAATTGCTTCCAGTTCAATACTGTTTAGAGGTGAATCTTGTGCTGACAGGTCTCTCTCTTTAGAGCATCCTTTATGTACACAGTTGGATTCAAATCCAATAAGCATGCTGTTCAGTCCATTCTTTTGAAACAATTTTCTTCCAAGAAGTTGCTAGCTGGTTGAGCATGGTAAGGATACATATTGTCATCCATCAGAAGAAAATTCTGACCAACTACACTTGCATATGGCAACCTTTATGGTTGTAAGACTGTATTCTTACATTGTATGGCTTCCATAATACCATGTTGTAGCAAGTAAAGGTCAGTGTGGTCATCAGTACTGATTCTGCATAGAACATTATACCATATTTGCTATATGAGTGTCCATAAAAATTTGATTGATTCTAGTTCCAGCCGTTCCCCAAATAGATGCCTGGCTTCATTTGTGAAGCATATATCGTCTGTGACAAAACATTTGCCCATGTGTTGTTTGACCAATCCAGTTCTTTTGGACACCCCTGAAGACAGATTATTTTGTGGTGATGGGTTAGAGGAATGCATACTGTTGGTTATGTGGCATAAAATGTCAGTTTTTTTTAGACTTGTTTCCGAATGTTTGTGGGTTGACTTGTCATCCATTTGTTGCTCTGATTCTGTTGGGGAGCTCAGTTCTGCTAGTTATGTTAGTCTCATATTGTCAAATAGCTCTTTTTCTGCAAAGTTGTTGATAACAGTCTACTTTGTCCATGTCTTTAACCAGCTGTAGTGATGTCTTGAAAGTGAGCTCATGTCTTATTAACCACACTTTCTGAGAGACTTAATAACCAACCTGAAGCAACTGGCTGTGTTTGACTAGCTTCTAGCCTACCTATTATTTTCCACATCATGGAAATATCCAAGAGTTTCCTTAGGGTCCTAAAACATTTCACTTTTGGTCTATCTGTCATTACAAACTTTACTGTTGTTCAGACTGTTAACTGAGAACACAATGTGCCTTTTTCTGTACATCTGAAATGTGCATGTCAGATCACATGGCTGAACACAAGATACTTGTGTTGCAAAAAATAACTTTAGTGATTTTGACATTAATTGATAACAATTGCTGTGCCAAGTTATAACTAGAATACAGAAAAATCCAATTAAATGCTAATTTATTTAGAAGGTAGTAATGAGTGACTTTTTAGTTTGAAAATATACCTATTTTGCATAACAAGTATGGACTGTAAGAAGCACGGATATGTAAACAAGTTTATATGTTACACAGTTCCGTTATTTAAATTTCCCCTAATGAACATGTTCATTGATAAAAGTACTACCCATCTGCCAAAAAAAAAGTAAAAGAACAAAAGTAATTTATAGTGGCTCTATTTTATGATAAAAATATAATATTCTATTAAAAAAAAAGGCTTCAAAAATAATTTAAAATTCATTAAAACTCAAAAATAATCATTCAGAGAAATAATGTAATATTTTAAAAATATATTATGATTTTTTTTTCTATTTGCTTTGATCTGACAATAGTTCCTAACCCTGCACACATGTACAAGCTATATGACTTTTTCTTGTTTGTTTTAAAGGACAGTTAGAAATTTGGAACTAATTTTATTTATCCAAGTATCAAGCGACAGTAATTCCCCATTAAACTTTATGGTACTAAAGCTTCCATTTATTTTCTTGGTTTCAGTTCACAAACTGATCTTTCTTCTACTGTGTCATCTACTATCCATAATTCACTGTCAGGCATCTCTTTAAATCTTACATGAATTTAATAATAGGTAGATGTATTTGGTTTGCTGTTAGTTAATACTTTTCCTGTGCACACGACATCCTTAACTGAGAAAACCCTAAAGCTTAGGAGTTGCTTTTACTATTTTGTTATTTGATTAAGCTTTTTTTTTTTCATCCATATGAGATGACACCTACATCTGCGTGGGAGCTACTCACAATGTTTTGGATAATATTGTATTAAACGTAAAACATTACAAAAGGAAAATTTAATATCCTGGTTTACAATTATTTCAAAATTTGTTTTAACTTTTTATTTTTTCTTCAGAATTAAAATTCTCATATTTTTCATGTTTTAGCTTTAAAACTTTACTACCCAAAACTGATAAACATTTTGGATAGTTGTAAGCTAGTTAACATAATTTTACCACTTATCTGTTTTGGATTTTAAAGTAGTTCCATCAGATGAAAGCTTAGAATTTTTTTCTGGCAGATGTCTTCTTTTCATTGTGACATCTTCATAAATATGTGTGATTTTGAAAATATTGCAAATAAACTCCATGCAGGTGTATGTGTAAATTTAAACTGTTTGGTGATTTAAGTCTTCTATTTTTAGTAAAGTGGGTGGGTGTGCAAACTTAAGCAGGTTGATAATTTAAGCCTTCTATTGTAATTAACTCTGAGCAGGTGTATGGGCCAACTTAAGCAGTTTTATAGCTTATGTCCTCTATTTTTAGAAATTGTATTTTATATAAAATGTAATTCACAGCAACATTACTGATAGAATTTTGTAATGCTATAATGTTGTTACTTCTTTAAAATGACATATTACAAATGCACTATTAGTCAGAATTTTATGTATGGCTATGATACGTTTTAAATTGTTTTTATTTGAGAGTAAAATGCTGACATTTAAATTTTTTTAGGAGAAAAACTAAATATAAAAATAGTAATTTGTATTCTTATTTTATTGCAGAAAAATGGGAAAATAATTGAATTTGCCAGTTTCTACTGCCTACCTTCCACAGTGATGCATCATCCTATCCATAAGAGTCTGAAAGCTGCTTATTCTTTCTATAATGTTAGCCAAACCGGCATTTGTGAGCTACTTCATGACGTTTTGGTGGTAGCCAAAAATGTAAGTAGTATCAAGACAATAACATATAGTTAGTAACGATTTTATTTTGTCTGACAAAAAAATATTACAGGATGTTGGTTAACAAGGAGAATAGGCCAGCAGAAAGGAAAGCAGAGTTGTATTTTTTTTTGCTATTGTGGAACTTACTAAACAGTACACTTTCTATAGATACTGAGGCATGATTTCACATAGATCAGTAAAATAACTGTAATAATGAAATATCCATTGTAATCATAACATTTTTTGTGCATTACTTAGTTTTATATTAGCATAAGTTTATGTGGTTGGGCATGGAAAGTAACTCTTTATATTGTTCCTTAGCTCGGTACTAGATGTCTACGTGTCTTGAGTTATCACAGGGGCAATATGACAACATCAAGTTTTGAAAAATTAGGTGTGATCTATCACACAGATACAACTTGTCAGTGGATGAAATTAAGCCATAAATCTGGTAACTTTGCATTCATTTGAGGCTTATTTTCAGCTCAAGTAGTTTGAAAATGGTGAATTTTTAAAGTTGGTGATCTCAAGAAATTTAAAATTCAACTATCTGCATGTTTTGTTTTAAACTTTTTAAGTTTCTGAAGCTAACAAACTCGTAAGTATATTGTCTAAAATCTGCGATTATTTTTTCTTGAATCCTGCTTGGCATACAATAACCTTTCTTCCTTGTGTAGTTACACTAGATTGCAAAGTAGTAAAATTTCTTGCACTATTTTGAGGCACCCCGAGACCAATTGAAGATGTTTTTTTTTTTCGTAAGTTAGTAATTAGTTTCTCTCCTTATTTATTTATTTTCATGACTTATCTTGGTAGTTAATTTTCTACTTACAAAACCTCAAGAGTTTTATAACTTGAGGCCTCAGGTGTCTAGGATGCTTGACTCGCAATCTGAGGGTCGCGAGTTCAAATCCCCGTCCCACCAAACATGATCACCCTTTCGACTGTGGGGGACATTATAATGTAATGGTCAACCACACTATTCATTGGTAAAAGAGTAGCCCAAGAGTTGGCAGTGGGTAGTGATGACTAGCTGCCTTCCCTCTAGTCTTTCATTGCTAAATTAGGGATGGCTAACACAGATAGCCCTCATGTAGCTTTTATTAAATATTGAGAATTTAAAATAGTCCGAAGGCGATATTTTAGTTAATTTATGCTATTTGCCAACAAGATTGACACACACCGTCTTCATTTTTCACACAAATACGTTTTAATATATATATATACAACAGTACAATTTACAACAACAATTATTACGAATAATTACCACAAACAAAGTTTTATAAACAACCATTTCACTAACTTACAAACAACATAGAGTTCAGAGTCTCCTTGATATCCAGCGAGTTAACTTGAAGTCGATGTACGTATAATTGCTGAGAAGTTAGCTAGCTTTGTCAGACACTGAATTGTTGAACCATCGAAGTAAGATAATATTTTCATAAAACCACTAATGTCCGATGAGAATTCAGTAATACTTTTGGAAAGATACTAACGTCCGATGAGAATCCACTGACGCTCGAAATTTATAACTGTTCCTGGTGAAATATCGTATATTATTCCAGTTGATAAGGGTTAGCAAAATCACGGTTTATAGCGTACACGGTTATAACTGGTTCCTAGCAGACTTGTATGTTCTCTCTTTGGCACGTCGCTTTTTATAGGCGCTGGAAAGACTTTCTCGAAAGTTCGGCCAATACTATATTTAACTGGTTATGGAAGTGAATATATTGTCAGTTCTTGCATTCACGAATATTCTACAACAATGGAGAATTGGTGGGAGTTTCACCATACGTAACTAACACTGTAAGCTAGGCACATTTTTACATATAAACTCAATCCCAACAAACGTTGTCATTAAAACAAATATATAACAAATTCATTACACGCAATACATATCTGACACTATAAGTTACACATATTTTTGAATACAAATTTTATATAAACTACGTTCGTATTAAAAATAAATACATAACAATAAATTCGTTACACTTTGCAAAAAATTCAAACCTTTCCAACTTGAGGCCTTTTTGAATGCAAGTATTTTTTTTTTCTTGCCCTTAGGCAATGCCAAATATTGTGAGGTTTGTATTGAACATGTACATGCATTAGTAAAAGAATATAGATAAGTTGTATTGTTTTAAGATAGAGTAAGATAATTACTGTATATTTATATTATTTTTAATGATCTAGATTATTTTTTATTCGAACATCTTCAATGAAGTGGCCTTGCCCCTGGTGTCTTTGTACCAACTGTAGCATTATGTACAAAAACTGGCTTTCATATTGACTGTAATTGGGTTATGTGTAATGGCAAAGTAAATAGCTATGTTACTGTGTAGTGATTTTATTGTATTATAAATCATGAATTGACTAACCACATCAAATTTATCTTTTAAAAGGTCCCATAAGTATCATGCCATGTGTTTGAAGTGTCTGTGTTTCAGATATGGTTACTTTTATGAGTTATTAATTTTTATTAATGCAGGATTTATGCTCAGACTGTCCTTTACGATAAAATACTTTTCTTTAAAGTGCAAGCTTTTGCCCATCTCACTGGAGCCTTCATTAGGCAGCAATGTAACTTGGTACTTAGCCTTTGTATTTTTGAAGAAATCTTTGCATCATAATTTTTTGTCTTCTTCTACAGAAAATGTGCATCCAATTTTGGCTTCCAAAAATAAAATTGTTGCCTGATGAAGGCTCCAGTAACAAGATCAAAAGTTTGCGAATAAAAGAAAAGTATTTTAAATTAGAGAACAGTCCATGTATAATTCTACATATTAATTTACATATGTTAGGAGACTTAAAAACAAATACTTTGATTGTTAAACAATGTAACTAGGAAGCTTATAGCAATACACATATAAAAAACAAAAGCATTGAAACAGGACATGTTGAAGATGTAATGTTTAATACAAAAACACAGATTTTCATGAAGCAGAATTTTAATTAAACATGTAAATGAGGAATTATATAGTTGCAAGCACTCTTAGAATGTAATTAATTACAATAATGTAGTTAATTTTTTGTATTTATTCATTATTGTGTGGGTTGTGTTATTTGATAAGTAAATATTCTTCAAATTTTCTGTTCAGGAAGGTATCAGCCTTTGCAAGATTAGGTTTCCTGGATGATCCAAAGTTGACAAAAATGTTGTAATACATAGTGACTTGCAAATAAATTTTTCTCTATATCAGCTTTAAAGATGTCTCAGGTGTGCTCTTAGAGATGTGAAATGGTTGACAAACTTTTCTGATACAGGTGGTTAGGAAGTAGAATTAAATTTCTAAGTAATACCACTTGTTTACTTTGTTTATAATAATACTTGTTTTTTTTTTCAAAATTTTTTTTGGCACATATGTAATGTTCAATCTTGAAAACTAAAAAAATTGAGGGTATGAGATTGTTTTCCAGTCACATCGGGGATTTTACCACTTGTACATTAAGTTATTATTTTAGTAATTTGGAGACTGGAAACAATCTCATTTTATTGAATTGTGTATAAAATAATCGTTGTTTTTTGAATAAAATTTTTTAGTTTTCTAAAATACTTTTTGTTGTTTGTTGAGAAATGTTTGTGTATATTTGTCTAAATGTTTGGTACATGATGAAAACTTACAATGTTAAGGATTCAATTTTTTTTTTAGAGAAAGAATGTATAAGCCAATAATAATTTATTTCCAATATAAATATATAAAATTTCTTAAAGTGTGTTAGAAAAATGATGCTCCTTTGTTGTAAATCCAAGATGTATAAATGGGTTATGTTTTCATGTTTACTATCTTTTTATTTTTTAGGCAGGATTTGATGTTTTTAATGCCTTAGATCTCATGGACAATAAAATATTTCTTGAAAAACTTAAGTTTGGAATTGGAGATGGAAATTTACAATATTACTTGTATAACTGGCGTTGTCAACCCATGCCTCCAGAAAAGGTAAATATTTTATTTATTACCTCTAAGGTTCAACATTTAGGTTAGTTTCAACAATTCCATTTAGAACAAACAAACAAAAAAAAGAATTAGGTTAAAATGAACTTTACCAGATCTTAACACACTGTTTCTTAATATTAATTTTAATTAAAGATATACTTACTTCAGTTTTAATTTCATAGATATAGCAAGGTAAAATTTAAGTGAAAATATTTATTTAATAAATTTATCTTTTTCTGTACATAAGTAATTTTAAATTGTAGATGCTTTTTTTTTAAGATAGTATTTTTAAGTTATTGAAAAATTATAATTAACAATTAAATTTGTTTTGTCTATATATAGTGCTAATCACTGGAAAGGTGTTAATGGACTGCATCTTTCTCTACATTTTGAACTGCTAACACAGATCTTCATCGGTCCATTTGCACTAGCAGCTCGAAAAACTTTCTAGACAGATGCAGTCCATTTATAGCACCTTTCAAACATACTTTACTCTGATCTTAACCTTCTCTCAAGCAAAAATGCTAATTACCAACATTTTTATTTTACCTTTTATGTTTTCCTACTTTATATTTAAAATATTTCACCTGGCCATAATAGTAAGAACTTACTGGACTGGAAACTTCTATGGACTGTATCTACCTGTTAAGCTGAGGACAACATTTTGAGCTGCTGTGCAAATCTTCATCAATTCAAAATGTCATCAAATTAACAGGCAGGTGCAGCCCATAAAAGTTTCCAGTCTCGTGTGTCTTCCTCTGCCTAAACTTTCTGTTAAACAAGAATGTGAAATCACTGCATGAAGCATTTAATGAGGTATTCTGGTATTTTGATCAATAAAAATGCAATTCAAGCTGCTAATTCAGTATTTATCATGAAGGAAGTGTTACCGTAATGTACCTTCTCTTGCAAATTTTAACAGAAACCTGTTTCGCGAAACCAAAAGAAGTTATTTCTCTGTTGAGATAACATATGGAAAAATATTTTTAGTGTGAAATATAATATAGTATGATACTAGGACGTTATTATATTTTGACTTTATTGGAACAAGTGTTAAGGGGAGGAAAATGTTAGTCCTGCCAACTTGGAGTAATATATTTTGTAGTGTGAAATATAATATAGAATGATACTAGGACGTGATTATATTTTGACTTTGTTGGAACAAGTGTTAAGGGTAGGAAAATGTTAGTCCTGCCAACTTGGAGTAATATATATTTTGTAGTGTGAAATATAATATAGAATGATACTAGGACGTGATTATATTTTGACTTTGTTGGAACAAGTGTTAAGGGGAGAAAAATGTTAGTCCTGCCAACTTGGAGTAATATATTTTGTAGTGTGAAATATAATATAGAATGATACTAGGACGTGATTATATTTTGACTTTGTTGGAACAAGTGTTAAGGGGAGGAAAATGTTAGTCCTGCCAACTTGGAGTAATATATTTTGTAGTGTGAAATATAATATAGAATGATACTAGGACGTGATTATATTTTGACTTTGTTGGAACAAGTGTTAAGGGGAGGAAAATGTTAGTCCTGCCAACTTGGAGTAATATATATTATGAAAGGTTAGTTGACCAAAAAGATTATAACATTACATTTATTCCTGTTTTCACCTATAGATCTGATTTTGAACAAATGTGGAGCTAAAGATAAGGGTATTGACAATACCAAGTTATTTACTAAATGTGAAGTTTAAAAGTGTAATTTATCATTTACACAATGATATAATACTAAAACCAGGGTATTTAAATTATTCCAGAAATTGTTCAAAATCACATTACTAGCAAAAATGAGTGAATAGAAAACATATAACACATTCAGAGACCATATACGCATCTCAAAGACACTGGGGCAAGCATGGACCAGTGGTTAGTGTGTCGCACCATGGATCTGCAGGTCCATCATTTCCATCCTATTAATACACACACACACAGAAAAAATCTTCTCTTTTGAGGTTATGGGTGCATTATAAGGGGGACAATCAAATCCCACTACTCATTCAGACAAGAATAGCTCATGAGATGGCAGTGGGTGCTGATGATTAGTGCCTTTCCTATGGTCTATCAGTCTAAAAGTCTTCAAGTATCATTGTTTGAATATCCAAAAACAAACAAATCCAAAGACAATGGACCTATTAGATGTTCACTCTTTAGATCTTTCATTTTGTACCATTTGTTTCTACCATCAAATCTATTATACTACCATTTCTTAATTTAAACAATATAATTTTTGTCATTGTTTAGTACAAGATTCACTTATTTATGCCTGTATTTCCATTGCAAAAACAGTAAATTTGTAACATCTTTGAAAAATGTTGTTTTTTTTATGTTAGGCCATTATGAAGTAGGGAACAAGGCCAATATTAAACATTTTTATGTTTTTGGAGTGGTCTGCTTTCAGAGTTGAAAATAAGCCAAATTTAATATTTAATTTCACAAACCGATGATGTTTTCCCCGTAAAATCGAAAGATGCACAGCAGGTTATGTGAACCTGATGTGGGTGTCTCCAGTCTCTTAGCTTATTAGTTTGTCAAATGCATGATTTTTTATACATTCATACTGTTCTCTTGTAAAGTGTAAATGTTGTACAAATAATACAGGTAACTTTTTTTGTATAAACATGTATATTTGTTAAGACAGAAAGAATTGATCCTCAACACTTTTTAATTGGTCTTTTTTTTTTACAGATTGGTCTAGTCCTACAATAAGGCACAGAATATATATATATATAAAGGAGTATTATATATATAAACATATATATAGATATATATATATGTGTGTATGTACATTGTTCCAGTTGCTTTTTCACAGAAATTTTGATCAGTTGTGTTACTGTTGTACAAGCCTTTAGTTTACTTCATCTATTGTACACTGAAATGGACAGACTACTGTATTAGGACAAACCTTTATATGTTTTATAAGAGCTGAATTAAAGCACTTGAAAAATAGTTCTAGCAAATTAAGCTATTGATATGTATGGGTATTTTCATGACTTAGTTTTAGAAATTTTAATTACAGAAAAATCTAGGTGACAAAATCTTCTTAAAGCATTGATGTGTTAATATGAAATATCAAAAGATGAAAGTTACATTTGGCAATATGAAAGATTTTGGTTCATTCAAGCCCTGGATGATTTAATGTAAATAAACCTTTATTTTTTCATACGCTACATAAAGGACACAATTTAAACTGAATCTGCTTATGGTATATGGAAAATACTATATAGAAGTATGGCTAAACATTAACAGTTTGTCTATTTGATGTAATAAATTTATCATAGTTTCTGTTATAACATCCCAACTTAATTTTGATTAAGATATAAACTTCAAATTAAAGGATGAGATTTTTTTTTCCATTGCATTTGGATATAATTATAATTCAAAGTAATTTAAGAGGGAAAAAAATCATTGTAGTTTTTCTGTAAACATAGAATTTTGAACATTCTTCGTATTTGTTAAGTTCTTTCCTTTGAGCTGTTCTTTGTTTATACATTTAATGGAAGAATTTTTTTTCAAATGGATATGGATAATTTTTTGCTAAACAGTTGTTAAAGATTAAATTGTCATCAAAAAAAGGAAATATTTGAAAATATTGTGTGCAGCACATTTAAATAGTCTGGTACCTTTTGCTGGGTTACTAATGCCTTATTACAGTAATATTATATTGTTGATGATTGTGTTGTACAAGGACACAGTAAATAACTTAAGTAGGCATTTTAAAAGTTTTCAAGCAATATTTTATTAAAATTGAAGATTTGGAATACATTGTGTGGATGACTAACACTTATTAATCAGTTATGTAAAGAGCAACCAGTCTCCATTATTAGTTACAAAAAAGTAACAATTTCCAGTTGTAGTGGTAACTTTCAGGGTGTCTTCTTTGTATAAGATTAATAAGAATAAAAAGGCTATTTAAAAACATAACAAAATTTGTGTAATATTCATAAGATTCAACATTAGTGTCAGAATATACAGTTTTGGACTGATTTTATCATCCATATTTATGAAGTATTAAAACTGTTTACATACTAAAGAATATTTAAGAACTTGATATCTTCACCTGTTATGGAATTAATATGTACGTTGGTTACCACTAGATTAAAAACCACTGAGTTTAAAATGTTGATAATTTTACAGACTAAGATTAGAATGGCTGTTAAGACTAATTGCAGATAGATACATGGTTAGTTATTCACAGTTATTTCTGTTTGTTTGTTTGTTCAAAGGTACTTCTGGTTACAGACACAAACACTTAAAAAACTCAATCTTTCCTTGATGTCATAGTATAGTATGGATAAGTACTGAAAAGTACCATAAATTGTTAAGAAAGTGATGTGACATGCAGTGTACAAGTATTCCCTAAAACAAGCTTGTAAGGAACTTGAAACTTCTTTATTGTGTGTGTATCTTATTAAATATATGAGTGGGAAACAATTTTGTATTATCGTAGCATCTGATAAAAACAAAAGTGAAATTGTGCACATGTAATATGAAATATTCAAGTTAATGAGCAATAACATTCATTTTTTTCCTGTTTATAAAACCATACACTTATATATATGTTTGTGTGTGTTACTACAGTAAATATATTTACCAAACTTACAGTGTAATCAGTTTTTTAATAGGCTTACTAACAGTTACTACAAATTTATTTTTTCTAAATTGTTTCATGGAAAAGATGAACTACACATGGGCAAGAAATACACCATGAAATTCCTTTTTTATGTGTTACCTATTTTTTTTAAGGTTGTGGTGGGCTGGGTGTGGACTAGTGATAAGCATGCCAGATTGTCATTCTAAGTGTTCATGGTTTGCATTTCATTGCCACAAAAACGAGCTCTATACTTTGGCACCTTTGGTGCATCACAAGAGTGACAGTCAACTCCAACTTTTTGATTAGAGTACCCAAGAGTAGGTAATTTTTGCTATTCGCTAGCTGCCTTCCCTTTAGTCTATCAGTTCAAAATTAGGGATACGTAGTATAGATAGCATTTGTGTAGCTTTTCATAAATTTTTGAAACAAGGAAAAATGTGAAAAAAGCAGTTGGTTTTTCTTGTATGTTTTTCTTATTTTAAAGGAAAATGATTGTAGTAAGGAGTCATATCAAACTTTGTGTTATTAAGTTTTAATGTTTTATTGTGCCTAGTAAGACAGAAAACTAGACAAACTAAGCTGTAACTATTAGAAGAAAAATAAATGAAAAAATATTTGTTAGATCTAGAAGACTCAGATTGGTAAACTTTGTAGACAAGCATATTTTAATTTCTTTTGTTTTCCAACACTGTAGGTACTTTTCCTAGCTTTGACTAAAGTGTAAGAAATGGCCAACATAACTGATATAATTGTTTCAAAATTTTACAATATTTTATCAATATAAAACTCATTTACTTAGAAATAGATAAATTCATGTTCATATGTATCCTTAAGTTACAATGCAAGCTCCATACCATGTTTAGTTACATCAAAAACACTGTGCAGTAGTTTAATAATGTGTAATTTTTATGCTTAGTATATGCAATGAAGCATTTATTTAGTAACTAAATCTTATAACTCGTTTTATGAGTTTAACAGTGTGTATGATTTTTTTTTGCCTTACCCAATTGGTATGTGCACTGAAATGAACAGCAATCAAATAAAACCTGTTAGAATGGAATAAAACATGTGCTGGGTAGCAAGTGTATTACTAGAGCTTATCAAACTTTTATTGTTTTTTACTAAAGCTTTTGAAAGTTGAGATATATATGTAAAAAAAATAAGAATGTACAGATGCTTTTAAAACTATGGATGAAGTCATATATTTGACTTTTACGCTTTTAGGAATTATGGAATAATTCACTCTTGAATTTAAAAACAATCAGAAGCGATAGACTACTTTTAAAGAGTCACTAAAACCATGGCATGAAGTTTAAGGTTTTCATTAATAAACACAAAACTAGGCTTATCAAATTACTGTTTTAATGAAATATAATGTGGTTCAATTTTCACTGTTAGAACAAAATGAAAAATACACCTATTTATTATATTTGAAAGGAATATGTTAGTAATGTACAGGGATTGATCAGAATTATTTAAAAGAATAAATTGACCTAGTTTAAGATTGATTGAAATTTATGTTTTTAAATATTTACTATACATGTATTGCAGTTTAAGCAAGCATAGTAATGATCAGAAAATGGCACTGATGTGGCTTTCAGGATAAGCTTGGTAAGGAAAATGTGTTGACTTGCAAAAAAAATCAGGTTTAATGTGCTGGCATTATGTAGAAGTGAGTTCATTGTGAATTATCATGAGGTTAAAGTGTGAAAGTGAAACACAAGTTGAAGATTTAAAGGCTTAGTTTAGAAATGCCTATAATGTTGAATAAAACAGAAAATACTGTAACTTCAAGTACCTTGAAGCAGTGCAAATGTGAAGTATACATGTTTACAAAAATCTTTCCTCCAGTACTGTTTAGAGATGGCTTTAATTTTGGTATACATCTATAGTGATTTTTTTTTGTATTCAGTTTTCAAGTCATTTGGATTATTTTTATGTTATGCAAGATACTTTAAGGATAAAACGTTTATGCTCAAACTTTAAATGTAAAATCAAAGTTAAAGTTATGGATCTTTGTTACATAGTATATTACATTTAACAATTAATGATATATTTATATACAAAAATTGAGTTGTGGTAATTTAATAATTTTTTCTTTTAATTATGAAAATGATGTTGTATAAATAACTTTAGTTTATGGAACAACGAAGGAAGTATTTGTTGTGAATTGATGAGCATAAATAAAGGAATTTATGACTATATAAAAACAAAAATCAAGGAAAAAGGAGATTGTCATTTCATGTATTTGACAAACTTGCATATTTTATTGGTCTGAAACAAGGAAAATACATTGATCGTTAACTAAATAGTTCTTTAAAATATGCACGTTTTTTAACTCACTGACTATTGTATTTTTTAAATCACCGATTATCACACATTGTATTTTTTAAATCACTGACCATCACACATTGTATTTTTTAATTCACTGACCATTGTATTATTTAAATCACCGATTATCACACATTGTATTTTTTAATTCACTGACAATTGTATTATTTAAATCACCGGTTATCACACATTGTATTTTTTAATTCATTGACCATCACACATTATATTTTTTATTCACTGATCATCACACTTTGTAATTTTTAATTCACTGACCATCATACATTGTATTTTTTAATTCACTGATCATCAAACATTGTATTTTTTAATTCAGTGACCATCACACATTGTATTTTTTAATTCACTGACCATCACACCTTGTATTTTTTATTCACCAATCATCACACTTTGTAATTTTTAATTCACTGACCATCATACATTGTATTTTTAATTCACTGATCATCAAACATTGTATTTTTTAATTCACTGATCATCACACATTGTATTTTTTAATTCACTGACCATCATACGATAAATTAGTGTATTTTAATTCACTGACCATCATATGGTACCTCAGTGTATTTTTTATTCCACTGACCACCACATGGTACGTCAGGGCATATTTAATTAACTGACAATCACATGGTAAATTGCTGTTTTGTTTTTTATTCACAAGCTATTACACCGTATACCAGTGTATTTGTTGAATTCACAGACCATAATATGGCCTAATATGATTTTTTAAAATTCTCTAGATGCAGAAACAAACTATTATATCTTAACTCAGCCACAAAGATAAAACCACACATTACCTTTTAGTTGTATGTACACAAGCTACGATTACGTCACTCACATTAAGCACTGCTTTTCGTTACACGTGCAACATGGGTAATTGAACAGTGTACGACTATTAATAGTATACAAGTATTTCTGATTTTTCGGTTTGTTTTATCAGTTGATGATTTTCCCTACTGACTTGCACAGAAGATTTTCAGAAGTATAATTTGTGTTTGTAGAAGGGACCGAGGTGGCCTAGTAGTTAGCGAGCCAGGCTTTCAATCTGAAGGTCCACATCTATTAAATAACAAATAATCACACTTTGTACTATGGGACTGTAGGTGCGTCATAAAAGTGATGATAAAATCACAATATTCAATAGTTGATTGTTGAGTTTGCCTTTCCTCTACTCTGGCCAGGTGGTTAGAGAGCTCGACTCGCAATCT